CAGGACGCGCTAGGTGGCAGAGATCGCTGACGCGGGAGGCCACACGAGGGTTTTCTACAAGGGCAATCTGCATGCACGCGATCAAACGACTGAGATCTGTTCCTGCGTGCATGAACGGCTCAGATCAAAAACGCGCACGACGGTCCAGATTGCATCGCACACGGACGACCCAGATTGAATCGCGCACGGATGACTCAGATTGAATCGCGATGAACGGTGCAGATTTACTTCCTATTTAATCACGATCGGACGGTTCAGATTAAAAGTGATGGACGGCTCAGATCAAAAGTGGATGATATAAATAATCCTATCTGCACCTAAACCCTAACCCTAGCTGCCAGAGCTCCTCGCCGGAGATGACAGCCCAGCCGCCAGGGAGCCGACTGCCGCCGCACCGGAGCAATTTTCGACCGTCAAACGAGGTAAAAATTCTACCATTTGCTCAGAATTTGATTTCAAACCCACCCATGGCCAAATCGGAGTGAAAGAACTGGCCAATTGGCTGGAAAACGCCGCCGAAGCTCAGTGGCGCAGCTGCGGGGTGTTTCGGTTTTCGCCTCCGATGAGACCCTTCCCGATTCCTGTTCGATGTGATTTTTCCACCGTTGTGATCACCGTTTCCTCCTCTACAGGTTGACCGGAGCAAAACACATAATTGCAACATGAGTCGGAGGAGTCGCCGCACCGGAGAGTCCCAACGTCGGTGAGTTTCGGTTTTCTACGTTTTTTCGGCCCACCGAGGGCTGTAAGTGTGTTTTCTCACATGAACCGATGCAAGTTTGGCTGAATTCGGCCGAAAACAGCCAATCCGATGTGGATCGTTGCCGCGAGCGGCAGCGCCATTGCCGAGGCACGGCGGAGCCGCCGTGTCGGATTTTTAAAATTGGTCGAGTAGGCTCTGTGATTGATTTTGGGTTATTTAGGACATTTGTAGGTACCGTAAGTGCGTTTCAGTTCCCAAAGAAAAATTCAGGAAACTTAGGGACTGCCCATAGGCTCAGTAACCATTTAACTTTTCAGTGTCAAATCAAGTAAGGACCCATAACCCTATTTCCTATCATGGAATTGAAGTTTGAATAAATGATAATACTGAATTTTGTACAAGTTAAATAGATATGCACGATTAATTAAGATTGCTAATGGAGTCCGAACCGGACATTATTCTCTGTCGATTCCTGCTTGATTTATTTTACAGTTTAAATGCATTATAATATCTAATTTATTTATTCTATGATTTTAAATGCATGTATTACGGTCCATAAAACAAGCAGGGAGCTATTAGATCTTGGAACTGAGAGTGTAACTGCTTGTAGGAGTATTTGGAAAAAAGAATTAACATAGGGACCGCCATAC